GGGGGGTGGGAATAGTTGTGATCGCTAATGAAATAAACAATAACCGTGAACCAGGAGACTTTTGGACCACGTGTTTGTTTCAGAACAGAACCAGCTGATTTGTGGCCCATTAGCAGCTGTTTTAGTTAGAAATGTATCAATGCTTTTATTGTGAAGGCAGAACGGTTTCCGGTCTGACAGAGTGCTCTCTTCTTCTGGTGCTCGTTCAACAGGAAGCAAACTCACGAACATCATCATCATCATCGATGTAATCAATACCCTTATGATGATCAGCTGGAGTCACGTGACTCGGCTCACAGCTCTGCATGACGTCATCTTGATTTAGACCCAGGTGACGTCAGCAGCTTGGTAACAAGGATGTTCCGCACATCATCCAGATGTTTAAATTTCAGATTTTCTGTTTGTGTGGAGGTTTACAGAAGGAGACGAGACAAGTTTCATCAAAATGTTCATTTACTTTCTCAGATAAATTTACATTTTTAAAAGCCGTTTGTTTTAGGCACTGACAAATCATACATCCAAAACCTGCTTAGAACCAGGAAAACATCCTCAAGCCATTATGGAAAGAACATCTAAAACCCTGCAGAAAGTCAACAGATGTTCCTGGAGGAACAACATGCTGATTCAACAGGGGGCTTTTATTTTGACGGGCTGCAGGATGTAGATAACAGGAAGTGAAGTGAGCTCTGAACAGAGCAGGGCGATGGTCAGGTTCATCTCAGAGAACATCTGAGAGATAAAAATTAAAATGAGAGAATTATAAACAAACACTGTGACAACAGTGGACAACTTTTGTTTATCGTTGTGAAACAAACAAAAATAAACAACATTAACACCCGAGAAACTGAAACGTGTCAATGTTTTCGTTTCAGTCAACAGGAAGTCGATGTGCATGTCTGACACGTGATTTAGTGTCAAACCAGCAGCTTCTGCAGGTCACTCAGAGTTCATGTGGCAGGAAGTGGACTCTTAAAAAATGAATTAAATAAAATATGAAGCTCCGCCCACATCACCTGTCTGTCCAGGTGACTTGTCATCTCACACAGACTCGTGTTACCGAGGAGATTCAAACCTTATGAACTTCTCGTTCTTCTCACTTCAGGTATTATTGGTTCACTTTATTTTATTTATTTATTTTCCCACATCTCTGCAGTCAGTCCTGTTGCCATGGAGACGAGTCCTCTGCTCACCTGGAACTGAAGAAGAGGAGAAGACACAATCAGGTACGATTTTAAAAATGAAGACTGAGAAAGAATAACTTTAATAACAAAACTATAAATAAAGAACGTCAATAAAAAGAAGTTTGAATAATTTTTTATTTTCTGTGTTACACCTGCAGGATCGTACGGATCAGCTGATCGTGCTTATCTCCAACAGTCGGGCTCAGGTGTGGATTCACTCACCTCACTGTAAAGCACAAACTTTCTTCTTTCTGGCCTGCCTCCCTCCGATGCAGTCGTTGGGCCCTGCAGGTAAACAGACGCTCTGATTGGTCGGTTTGAGGCAGAACGATGACATCATCATCACAGACAGAGCAGGTGAGCACAGTTCAGGTGTTTTCAGAACAGACTGGGTTTAGTGCTGTTCCTGGGTATCAACTCAGGATGATGAACGTTTTGTAAAGTGGGCGGAGCTTGCCTCAGATGACCAATCACAGCCCGGAGCTGCTTCATCCGACCTCGAGCGAACATCCGAGTCAGAATTTACACATTTGTTAACGTTTCATTTTTGAAACCCACTTTCTTCTTCATATGTTTTGTTGCTTGAGGCATTCATACCTCAAAACCCTCGGCTCACGTGAGAAAGGTGCTGGGACTTTTGGTTTTTGTGACTTTTAAACTTTTCAATTTACAAATATTTTTTCTAAAGAAATACATTTAAAGCTTTTCATATTCTTCAAAAACGGTTTTCTTTGAAATCTGCTTCAGCTACAGGCTCCGTTTGATCTTATGATACTTTATTCTTTTTACTAACCATTTGCCACTTAGACTCATGTTCGTGCTGCTGTTCGACGTAATGTTTTTATGCTGTTAGTGCTTAGAGTACTTTTAGTTGATGTTTTTCTTAGTTCATATCTTAGATGTTACTGTTTTTCTTTTACATTTTATTGTTGGATGTAACTGGGACCCTGTGAACATAATTTTGTTCCACCACATGTACCACATGTGATGGAACGACAAAGAATATCTGACTCGGATTTAGCTGGCTTTAGCTAGTTTTCATTATCCTTCTGCTACTTTTAGCTACCATTCTGCTACTTTGTGTTTTCAGATAGCCTTTTGCTTCAATAAACCATCCTTATCTTACTTTAGCCTACTGCTGCTTTTAGCTCACTTTTAGCTAAATTTAGCTTTTCAAGTGTTTTGCTCCTTTTAGCCTTTAGCTGCTTGTTTTTGCTAACTCAGTTTCAGCTGGTTTAGCTGTCGCTCAACACAGATTCATGCTGCATTTTCACTAAATAATCCTAACAACTCGTTTTGATTTAATCTGGTTTAGCAGCTGCAGGAAGAAACGTTGGTAAATAAAAAGGATGTCAACATGAACATGTAAACATGTAAACACATGAACATGTAAACATGTGAACAAGTAAATGTGAACATGTAAACATATATGTGAACTTGTAAACGTGAACATGTAAACATGTTCATATGTTTACATGTTCACGTGTAAACATGTAAACATATGGACATGTAAATGTGAATATGTTAACATGTTTACACGTTAACATGTAAACATATGAACATATAAATTAATATGTTTACATGTTCACGTGTAAACATGTTAACATATGAACATGTAAATGTGAATATGTTAACATGAACATGAAGAGGATGCAAACATGTAAACATGTGAACATGTAAACACGTGAACATGTAAACATGTAAATGTGAGTATGTAAACGTGAACATGCAGAGGGTGTAAACATGTGAACATGTAAACACATGAACATGTAAACATGTAAACGTGAGTATGTAAACGTGAACATGCAGAGGGTGTGAACATGTGAACATGTGAACATGTGAACATGTGACGTGGTCAGCTCAGCTCTAAGAGACAGCGCATCGACTCTAATCTAAAAATACGACAAAAACAAATCCAACATTCAGGAGGAAGACCTCAGTTGTTTGTTGAGTGCTGAGGTTTCCAGACCTGCTGGTCCTGGTTCCATACCTGCTGAGCTGATCTTTGGTGAATCTGATGGTACAGCCAGACCAGATCCTGGACCAGAACCTGGACCAGAACTTGGGCCTTTACTGCTCGTCTCTTCAGCTTCTTGTACTTCTGTCGTGGTGATCTCCTCAAAGTCTGACTCCTCAACTCCACTCAAACAGTTCAAGTCTTTGTTTTCTGCTGGATCTTCTGAGCTGAGCTGGACTTCCTCTTGTCTTGCAGGACTTCTGGTCTTGATGCCAGCAGAGTCCACCTTGGGGTTCTGGATCCCATTTGGGCTCTGGTTCTTCTCAGTATCAGCAGCAGTAACAGATGAGGCGGAGGGTTCAGCAAGATTCTGGGTCTCTGAGGCCTCCTGGTCTGGCTCAGCAGGTCCTGGCTCTGGACTTGATTCAGTGGACGGAGCTTTGGGGACCTGGACCCCCTCTGAGAACTCTGGTGACTGTCCAGGAAGAGAAGAATCAGGTTCATCCACGGCCTTTGACCTCTGCATGACTGTGGGATTCCCTGAAAAACAACAACAGTCAGATGGATCTGGACTCTGAGGTTTCAGCAGAACCCCCCACGGTCCTCACCCAGGCCTCGGCTGCCCCTCTCGGACTGCGTTCTTGTTTTCCTCAGGTTGTGGCCTTTCCTGATCTCAGCCAGCAGGTTGTCGATGATGCAGCCTCCGTCCTGCTGGTTCACGTCCTTCCTGACTGGAGGACAGGGACAGAGCGGGTCAACGTCTCACCACTTCCTCCTCCTTCACAAAGCTCCGCCCCCTTTTAGTGAGTAAAACTGCTGGTGTCAACGGGAGAATACTAAAAGGCTTCTGGGTGGAAAAGTAAAATATCAGTTTCCCTGCCTGAACACAGAGTGGCGGCTTCAGTCCAGCTGCAGAGAGGATTTAAACGAGCTCAGCTAAAGTAAGCTTAGATGTTTTTATTTAAGTAAACTATTTAAAGACTTCTTCACCGTGAAGCGTTCAGCCTTAAATTATGTGATTTAATTAGTTTTCTGTATAATACAGCCCATCGTTGACTGACAGTGACGGTGCATCATTTGCTTCTGGAAAGGCCATTAGACCTTACATTATATGGTCATAAGACTTTATATTATATGGTCATAAGGCTTTATATTATATGGTCATAAGGCTTTACATTATATGGCCTTATAACCATATAATGTAAAGCCTTATGACCATATAATATAAGGTCTTATATTATATGGTCATAAGACCATAAGACCTTTTCAAGCCTTAAAAAGCATCAAACCCTTGCTTCGCTCTTATTCGAAGCAGTTTTCTTAGCAAACTTTTCAGGTTCAAACATATCCGCAGGTGGGAACATTGCAGAGACGCTCAGGACCTTCAAAATAAGGTTTTATTTTAGTGAAATGGTCAAGATAGTTCGTGCACGTTGTGAGCATGATGCCATGAAAAATAAGTGAGGTACCAACTTCCATTTTGGTGTTTGGCTACATCTAGGGGTAGCAAAGGCTGCCATGTCAAAATCCAAGATGGCTGCCACCACATATGTATATTTAAACTGGACAACCTGATCATTTGAGGAAACTACGGTTTCTAGTTTTTATATTGCTTAAAAGTATAGTTTCTTCAAACGATTGGGGTGGCTGGTGGTTAAGGCCACCGTTGGCCACCCCCTGGCTCCACCACTGCGCCAGCTGGTGTATAAAATATCTCCCTCCTCTCAGCAGGATCCATCACTCTGTGCTGCCTCAGTTCTTCTACAGTGTAACTCCTTCCCACGTGAACATTTTCATAAAAAACATTTAGGTTTACTTCATTCTCTGTTCCGTTCCAGTCCAGAAAAACTCCTCTCCAAAACCACGAGTGTTCGTTGTTCAGATCCCTCAGCGATGAGTGGACGCCGACGTTCGGCTCGTTGAAGGTGGGATTACTCACCGATCTTGACGTTTGTGTCTCCTTTGAGTTTCTTCTCCTCTTCTCGTTTCCTTCTCTTCGTCTCCTGCTCCCTACGGCTCTCGTTCTCCTGGATGAAAAATGTAAAAACTAACGTTACTCGACTAAACGCTGCTCACGCTGGAACTTTAAATAAACATGGCTGTAGCACGAGAAATGACAGTTGTAGCTGTTTCGTGTAAACACGTGATGTTGTGAAATGGGTTTGTTAGCTAAATTTCAGCTCAATGGCCATAAACAACACAAAGTTAAAGTTAATTTTGTGTTTGCCATGTCCACTTCGCTGCGGCGTCCATCTTGATTTCATCCTGTGTTTATTTTCTGAGTTTCATTAAAATACATCCAGTGGTTCATGAGATATTTTGCTAACAGACAGACAAAGGTCCTTGGCTGCTGACCTTGAGTGCTCGCGTGAAGAGGCCTCTGAAGGTCTTGATGGTGCTGAAGAGCTCGTCGAGGGAGAAGCTGCCGCCGTCCTCGCACAGGTAGTCGGCCAAGTCCCGCCTCCTGTCCTCCACCGATGACATCACCTGCTGTAGCTGCTCACACGCCCGCAGGCTCTCCTGGCAAAACACCCCAGAAGAAGAAACGTCTCGATGCGTTCGCTGCTGCTTGATGAAGAGCAGAATGCTAAACCTTGGGGGCGGGGCCTAATGAAGTCACCTGGATGGGGATCAGGTACTGCTCCTTCACATCCTCAGAGGAACACAAAACTTTCTTCTCAGAATTTTTCAGCTGTGTGGAGAGAGCGTTGGCTTCGGCCTGAATCGACTCCACGTTCACCCTGCAAAGACAGACGGTTCAAATCTCCTTAAAGGGACAGTTCGGCTCGTTCAAGCGGGGTCGTGACGACTGTTTTGAGTCGTCAGTGTGTGGATGTGGTTTCTGTCTGTAAATTTGGTTTCAGTGCCGGACACAAGGATGAACAATCAGTTCCGGTTCCATCCCGTCAAACCCTGCTCCTCTGATCAAATCAATCAGTCAGAAAGATCAGCCCAGCAGACAGCAGCCTGCGGCGTCCAGTCTGTTTACCCAGCAGCCTTTTCACAGATCAGCAGGTCATCGGGCAGGTTCAGCAGGTCAGGATGGTTCTCCTCCACCTCCTGAAGGTCACACAGAAACCAGCAGATGATTCAGAACCCAACCGGGTCGGGTCGAGCAGCGCGAGCGGAGCCGTCAGAGCGGTTACCTCCAGGATGTGGTGCAGCAGCGTAATCCTGGACTTGTTGGCTTTGGTTTCTGTCAGTCTGAGCAGAGTGCTGATCTTAAAGCCTTCAGCGTTCCCAGTGTGGGTCCCCTGGTGCACAAAACGACACGCCGGCACGCGACGTCACATGATCAGACACGGCCAATCAGATCGCTCAAAACAATCCGAGGTTTGGGTTTCACTTATTTTCTATTAACGTAAAAATTCTATAAAACATAAAAAACTGTAGCTTAATTTCAAAAGGAGAAAAACTGTGGCTAAAAATGAAAATTAATTAAATAGTAGCTAAAATCAGTAAAACAGTAGTTAAAAGCTAAAACTAGCAAAACCGCAGCTAAAAGCTAAAGTTTGCTAAACCTCAGCTATTATTTCAACTTAGCAAAACAGCAGCTAAAAGCTAAAACCAGCAAAATTTTAGCTAAAATAAACAATACAGTAGCTAAATACAAAAAATTTGCCAAACAGCTGCTAAAGCCTAAAACCAGTTAAACAGTAGCTTGATGTTAAAATGAGCAAAATCATAACTAAAATCTCAAATTAGCAAAATACAAGCCAACATAAAAAATAGTAATGAACTTAGCTAGTTAGTAGGAGCTAAAATGAAAACAATAGCTAAAATAAGCAAATTAGTTGCTTAAAACTAAAACCAGAATGAGTAGCTAAAAGCTAAATTTAGCAAAAGCATGGCTAAAGTCTATAATAAGGTAACCATAGCTTTTAAACTGAGAAAAACTGCAGCTAAAAGCTAAAACCAGAAAAATTGTAGCTAAACCCTAAAATCAACAAAACAGTAGCTAAAATCTAAAACTAGTCTAGCAGTAGCTAAAAACTTAACTTAGCCAAATAAAACTTTAAAAGCTAACATTAGCCAAATTTTAAAAATCCCCATTTATTTAAATAAAAACATGTTAACTATTTTAAGAAGTTTAAAAGTAAAAGAAAACCACACTTCTTAGCTTCGACCTCGTGAAAGAGCCGAACGTTTTGGTTCAAACGGATGCAAACTTGCTGAAGATGCTTACATAGTTGAGAAAGTTCCCCACACTAAGGATGAGTTTGCAGAAGCTGGGCAGCCGAGAGCTCTCCCTTAAACCTGAACAGAACCAACACACTTCAACACAAACGGGTTTAAACAGAATAATTCTGATCTCAGATCAGCCCAAGCTTCAGGAGCTGAAGTGCAGCTCTGCATCTCGTCATTTATTTGGTCACTCCACCAGCAGGGAGAGCCACGTTTTAGCTTTTAAACTCTGCAGAAGACTGAGCTCGTCAAAGAACTGGAGAAAAGCTGACACATACCCTGAAAACATGAAGATTCAGATCATCAGAGTTAAAGCGTCATTAATGGAAATGTACTGTTAAAACACACACCATTAACACGTTTACATCCCGCCTGCTCTCCGTTTGTGTATTTTGTATTTATTGTGGGCGTTTGGTGTATAAATATTAAAAATACGGACTCTGGCAGGCCCGGTCCAGAAGCTCAGCTCGGGGCTTCAGGGTGTCCAACGCACAGCTGCTCTCCTCTCGCAGCAGCATGCACTCGATCCTCAGCGTGTAACTGCAACACCGGCAGCAGACTCTTAATGTTTAACAGTTTATGTTTGATTGACAGGTGATGCGACCTCTCACCTGGGGACATCCAGCAACTTCAGGTAAAACTGGTCCGCTGACGCCATCTTGTGCTGGTCTGCCTGGTTAGACTTCAGGTTGTCTATCTGAGGATGGACAGGAGAGACAGAGGTCAAGTCATGCTGCTGAGGGACAGAACAGGACAGGTAGATACCAGAGATGGACAGGTGACACAAAATGAGACAAGCTGAAGGTGTGCAGATTGTGTGTAATGTGTTGGACAGATGTGGGACACCTGAAAGGTCTAAAACAAGAACTGGTCTGGAGTGAAGCAGGTGTTGGGGCAGGTTAAGGTGGTAAGGGTCAGACATGAGCAGAAAAGGTTCAGATGGTTGTGGGACAATAGTAAAGTGTGTAAAGGTACAGCAGGTTTAGAACAGGTGTGGAAAAGGTGATTTCAGGTGTGAAGTAACTTTGTTCCATGTCTGACACCAGTTCAACACTAGAGGTTGAACAGGTCTAAAACTGGTGTGGGACAGATGTGGTACAGGTGTTAAACGTGGGGAACAGGTGAATAACAGATGTGAAACGAGTGTAAAACAGGTGTGGACCAGGTGCTGACCTCGTGTTTTTCTGGAAGAAGTTTCATCAGCTGTTTTAGGATTTCCACGTCAAACTTGGATCGGTCTCCCGTCCGAATCAGAGACACAAACTCCTCATGTGTACTTCAAGTGATACAGAACAGGTGAGACAGGGAACAGGTGCACGATGCAGGTACTTACAAAACAACAACAAACACTTTAAACTGCTGGAGAACTTGGCCAGTTGACTTTAACCGATCAGACGGTTGGAAGAAGAAGGACATAAGTGAAGTGAGGCGAGAGGACAGACAAGTCAAAGACCAGGAGGAGACAGGTGAGTCCAGGTGAATTTGGTTCAGAGGTGTGTTTCCACTGGCAGGAAGGTTTACCATTTGAAGTGTTTCAGGAAGATGTTGAGGTTCAGGCTTTTCTTGGCATCGATGAAGGAAATCTGTAGAAACAGAGATGAGACAGTGATGGACAACAAGTGGACAATAATGAATAAAAAGTGGACAACAAGTAGACAATAATGAATAACAAGTGGACAACAAGTGGACAATAATGAATAA